AATCTAGGACCCGGGTTGACATTTAAACCCAAACCCGCTATACTACGCTTTAGGAAGTGGTTCCACTTGGCCAATTCCTAGCGTGACAATAGAAGTGAGTCACTTCCGTAGACTATGTGGTACTTCTTGCGAGACCAGGATGTTGGCATTCATTTGTCACCTAGGGATGAAGTCTCTTTGAGTTGGGGAAACAAGTTTATGCATTAGATTTAGCGGCTTCAATCTGTTCGTAATTGATTTTTTAATGGACTTTAAACACACATTGTTTAGACAGATGGGTCGAAGATATGCAGGGGACTACATACGGTCTTTTTTGGGAATAAGAACGATTGTAGAATCCATCATCCACTCTGAAATCACACCCGTGTCGAAAAAACCAGCAACCATATTAGAAAGTTTTTTCCCCGCAGATGCCCACAATTATTTTTATAAAAGACGACCTGAAAGGCACCTTGCCCCGGAGTTGAAAGCACATCTTGGATCTGTCGATTATGTTATGGCCGGAGTCCGACGCATGGCGACCTGGTGGACTTGGGAGAAGCCGTAGGTATTATTGCGGGGCAATCCATTGGAGAGCCGGGTACTCAACTAACATTAAGAACGTTTCATACCGGCAGAGTATTCACAGGAGGTACTACAGAACATGTACGAGCACCCTCTCAATAGTTACATCTAAGTCTATATAACATAGAAAAGAAGGATGCCCATGACGTGTACGTGTGGGATGAACCAAATCCTCATTAAATTTGATTTTTCCATTAGAGGGTGCTCGTACATGTTCTGCAGTACCTCCTGTGAATACTCCGCCGGTATGAAACGTTCTTAATGTTAGTTGAGTACCCGACTCTCCAATGGATTGCCCCGGGGCAACAAGACCAAGTTGGTAAGGATTTCAAAATTACCTTCATTTTTCTAGTCATTTTTATGATCATCAATTAGAGATTTATATTCTAGAGGAGCCCCTTTACCATTCTGTATAAATGCGCTATTGTTTTGTACGGATATGGTAGAGGGGCGCATCCAATCCTTGTTTGCCTATTAGTTCCTAGTTGTTTCATTTGGAATTACAATTCATTTGATAACCTTATTAGTCGATGAATTAGTAGAACTATATGATTCGTCAGAAAAAGGAATGATAACTAGTTTTTTCTGTATAACAGGATTATTAGTTACTCGTTGGATTTATTCGGGACATTTACCATTAAGTAATTTCTATGAATCATTAATCTTTCTTTCATGGATCTTATCCATTATTCATATGGTTCCATATTTAAAAAACCAAAATTATTTAAGCCCATTAACAGCTTTAAGTACTTTTTTTACACAAGGATTTGCTACTTCGAGTCTTTTAACTAATATGCACCAATCCGGCATCTTAGTCCCTGCCCTTCAATCCCTGTGGTTGATGATGCACGTAAGTATGATGGTATTGGGCTATGCCGCTCTTTTATGTGGAGAATTTCGTCTTGCAGTAGTCTGGGAAAAGCGTTCTTCGGCGTAAGATCATTATACTGGCTGATTTCTTGGGTGTAGAGGATTGTGAAACACTCCACCAAAGCCTTGAGTCTATGAGGATCTTCCTCCCACTGTCTGTAAGAGTCTTGCAAGGAGAGAATGCGGTTTTGTCGGCATCGACGAGCTGCTTGCTGGTGAAAATAAGAGGTGTTTTGCTCACCTAGCTTAACCAATTTCTCTTTGGCGCGTTGATACTAAATCACTTCTTATCCAACTCCTGATCCAATTTCGCTTGAAGTTTGAAAAGCTTAGGATTGAAAGCGGTAATAATCTGGTTTTGCACTCCACGTATTCTGGTTATAATGCATTTCTTGCGATGGTAGCGGATTCCAAAAATCATCTTCTTCCATTCTAGCAAGTTGGGAGATATATCAGTGACTACTTGAGCAACGTCCACTTCCTTCTTCCAATTGCATGCAAAGAACTCAGCAAACATATTGTGAAGTAACCAAGCTGCTTCAAAGCAGAATGTTTGGGGGTGCTGAAATTGTTGGGTTTATTGGTTTTAGAGGTGAAAATGGGTACGTTATCTGAGTGAGCATCGGGAGGTGCGGGATAGATGGGGAGGGGAAGTGATAACACCTTGCACATCGTCAAATACATCTCTATTGTGTTCCTATTTGATTTCGATGTGATTTTAGGGTTTATTAGTCGATATGTGGGAAATAGTTCGAAGGAAATCTCTATTACCTGCACAGCGAACATTCCACGCGAGAATATTAAACTTAGGCGTATTAGACATGCAAAAAGAGGGTAGAGAAGGGAACAAAGGATCACAAAACGCTCGAGAATCATTGCGCTATAGCAAAGCTAGTATCAGGATCCAGGATATAGCTGCCAACGTAGATAGGTTAGGATCTGGCATTTCTGTCATGTCCACATCTAGAGCTTTCACTTTTGCCAGGTCTTGGAAATCAGTAGCTTTTTGTCGGGCTTGAGAGCAGAAATCTTCAATCTCTTGGAGCGTGACAGGGAAGCTTGACTCTTTCGTCTTGTTAGCCAAGTCTCTCTTCGTAGATTAACTTAGTTGAAGTAGTTTCTTGGTCGATCAATGATGGATTCCTTTATTTTTTCCAGAGTCGTCAACTTTTTAGCAGTCCTCTTGGGGTAGTGTTTTCGAACGGAGGATGAGGCGGAATTGGGATCAAGGTTTTCTTTCCGTTTGATGACCCGCGGAGGAACTGGTAGGTCATGGATCAGGGTATTATTCGGGCCCTTAAAGGATTGGGTTTGGAGGATATTGGCTTTAGGTCCATATGTTAAAGTGTTATCAATGCTAGGAGGAGCTTCTTTCTGTGCTTGAGTGTCTCGTCTAGTTTTCTTGTTGGTGATGGGCCTCCATTCTTGTGTCACAGGTGAGCTATTCTTGTTGTTAGTATTGCTCTCCTCATTAATTGGCGCTTTCCATTTTGTGTAGATTAGTGTTTCCTTTTTTTGTTCATTGGCGAGCCACCTGCTTTCCTTTTCCTCAGCAATACCCATTAGTCCATGTGTTGTCAGAAACTGTCTGATCGAATCCACGTCACTAGCGGTTTTGTCATGTAGAGTTCCACCACTATCCTTACGAATTTTCCTCTTTCGAGATCCTTTGTATGATAGTCGAGTTTAACTGTGCGCGCAAGCAGATTGCCTAAAGCAAAGAGGACTTCCCTATGTTAGAAATGCACCGAGAGTTTTGATAATTGAATCCAAGCAACAACTTATTTATGAGGCTTGTCTGAAGTTTGAAATGAGGGAGACCGTTGATGAACAATAAGATAATGATCTAGAATAACCAATGGACCTCCTGTTAGCGCAAGTAAATAAACTTGATCGTCACCGAAATTTACCATAAACATATCTTTGTTCAAGTTCATAATATTCATAGATCCCAATGGTCACAATTTCCATCTTAGTTGTGAACAGAGATATGAGTAGAAAATCGATTGACCTAGCAGTCTTTCCCCTAGCGTTTTCTTCCATGGATTGCACAAGCGCTCTTTGAAATTGGTTGAAACCTTAAATTCAGGTTAACCTTCGTAAGATTTTGGTTCTAGGTCATGCTCCCCTACAAACATCCACTGATTTGATTTTGTCGGGACGTCTTGGTGGGGGCCGGCTAGGGCCGCTTTGTTGGTAATAGGATCACAGGGGTTGAAGATGTGTGAAGAGTGATTGTGGCTTATCGGGCGAAGGAATCATGTCTAGGGACATGTCTGCGGTAGTTGATGATTTTCCAGGAGAGGGAACAGGGTCTGACGGCCACCCTGCGAAGTTCAGATCCAACTCTAACGAGGGGATAAGGAGGATTTCGAATGGATGCATTTTCAGATGAGTCAAACAAATTCTTGTTTTGCTTTGCTTTTTTACGTTCCCATTAATTATATTTACATAATATCTCTCATTTACTATCAACTACCTATTAACTACTAACCCCATTAACTACCTAATCCATTATCAACAAATACGAAGGCAGAAATGAGGTGGGCATCCGGTTCGGTTTTAACTCTTCGAACCAAACCAATTCCGAACCGATCGAAACCGAATTGTCCACTATTCGAATCGGAAATTAGAAAGGAAATGCTTTTAATTCGGAATACATGGTTGTGCCAACCGAACCGAATTCCGAATTTCAACCAATAAAATCGAAATTGTAGACCCAACTTACCATAGCATATTTAATTCCACCCAGGCCCAACAAATTAACAAAACCCAGCAATCGATACTCAAATTTGGGTGTAGCCTCCTTCAAAGAAAGAAAGACCAAACAAATATAACCTAATCCTAATTCCATATCTCCCTTTGCCTCTCCCTCTCGTCCGCCGCTCACCACTGTCACCGGTCACCACAGACCGTCTCTCACTCGATCTCGATCACACGGATCCTCAAACGTTGTACCCACTACCCAGCTCCTTCATCGCGGAAAACAAACTCTAGTGTGGCATCTCGGCGGCTGCGCGATCCACAAGGAGCGGTGGCAGGATCGACAACTGAGACGACAGAAATAGCATCGACGGGATCTGCCTGGCGGTGGCGGAGCCTCTGGATGCTCTCCCCCGGCTCCTGCCTTCTCTTTTGCTACCGCTTCCTCTTATATAAAATGGGCGAGCAGCGTGCTTAGAGAGCCTAATCTAGGGAGAAGGTGAGCCCTGCGGCGGAGGGAGCTTAGTGCTCTGGGAGGCAGAGTGCTCGGCGGCAGACTACTTGGAGATGACGGACCGACGACATGTTTTTACAGCAGAGAGATATAAGGAGAGGGAGAAAATGGGAGAAGGAAGAAGACAATAAGGAGAGAGAGTCAGAGAGAACCGAAAGGGAGAAACAAATCAGGAATGAGAATCGAAATCTCGGGTTTGTCGGGTTTTTTGTTCCGAACCGAGATATATTTCACTTTGACTAGACCGAATCAAAATATAATTTGGTTTGTCCTTGGACTGGAACTGAGATGCCAATATGAGTTTGACCCGAACCGATTAAATGCCCACCTTGGACGGAAGGAATGAGGCTTAAGCACCCCAACTCAACCCCATAAATCGGATCGCAATTTGCTCGCCGGAATCAAATTGGACGCAGAGACTGAGGAAGCGAGAAACAATGGCTGGGGCGGACGGGTTCGTGGAAGCCGAAAATGCAGAGGCAATCATCACCAGAATCGAGCACAAGTCCCGCAAGATCGAGAGCCTACTCAAACAGTAAAGAAGATCTGTTTGCGTTTCTTTACCCTCCACTGCTTCTCCCTCTGCCCTAATTTCTCCATTTCTCTTCCTCGTGCGCCAGGTACAAGCCGGTGGAAGCACTCAAAACGGCGCTGGAAGGATCGCCTCCGAAGACCGGCGACGAGCGATGCAAGGTTTTCCTCATTTTGACGCTCTCAGAATTGTTTGAATTCTTCTTTTGTCTATCGTAATTGCAAGGTTTTGTCTATCGTAATTTGTTTCCGCGCTGCAGTCTGCAAATTGGATAGTGATACACAGAGCGATTATGGCGATCAAAGACGTGGACGGGATGCTCAACTCTTTGGACCCTGAGTACTACGATATCCTCATGAAGTGAGTACAATTGCACACCCCTTTGGTATTATTTTGCCTCCATTTTTGCTCTACTATATCTCTGAATGTAGTCTCTTTGGATCCTTAGGCAAGAGAGTTCTGCTGACTTTACTACATTCTTACTTTCTTAATGATTCGTTGCCTCTTAACAAAAGTTATTCTTGGTCCTGCACTTGAATACTGGATTCCATATCATAGACAGAATCAGCTCTAATTGGAATGGTTCTTGCTTCCAACTTTGGATCATAACTATAGCCCTTTGCAAATAGTTTGTCCAATGGATTAGTTGCATCAATTTCTTCTTTGTTGGTGAGTTGGGTTGGATTTTCTCCATTTCATATTACCACTGTACCAACCCTTGTGGTTGGAATTCTTTTGATTTTTTGTTAGTTCTGCATTGCCTACCCTTTATAATTCGGCTTGCTTTAACCCAAATCTCCACTCTCTGTCCGATTTTGTTGATTTCACACTTTGGATACTCTAATTGATCGAGTCGTAGCTCTCCTTTGATTGGAGCAGCATCAGCCGTACAAGTTAAGCCTGCTTTATCCAGAGTTTATTCTTTCTTCTTTTATTTATTTCTTGCCTTATTATGCACTCTGTTGGACCAACATCACATGAAAATCAGTGTCAGTTCGTCGTAGGACAAAGTTTCAGCATTTGGACTAAGATGACTGCTTGAAGTCGAAGAAGAGTTATGTAAGCACGATCCTTGTGTAGCATGTTCTTCTTTTGCTACCGAACATCTGTGAACTTGACCATTTAGCTGAACTAGCTAGAGCCTGACACACTTCTATTGAAGGGAAGCTAGATAGAGTTAGCATCCTGCTCTACGCTTGCCCAGTTGCTGACCAAGTTGATTATGGCAGATCTTGTCCACCGCAACTGAGGGTTTTGCCTAAACTACCTCGTCAAACTCACAGTTGTGGTTTTCTAGGTACTTGTACAGAGGGTTGTCTACAGGAGATCGGCCCACATGTGATCAGTGCCTCCGGATACACGAGAAATTAACTGAGAAAGCTGGGTTGGGTTGCATACTACGTTCCCTTGCTGACACTGCTAATACTGTTTGAATGACCTGACGCTGTCACTGAAGAAAGAAATGGTAGCTTTGAAATGTTTGTTTTTAACTATTTGCTACTTGCTTTCTGGTCATATGGTCAATCTGGGTTTCACTTGCCTGTATTAATCTTTAAAGAATAATTTCTCCCCTTGTAAGTCGGAATTTAAATTTTCTTGCGTTGATAAATCAGATTAGTTGTGCTTGTACGTGGGCACCGGGCCGTGCCGCCTACGGGCTAGGACGGCACGACACTGTTAGAGCACGGCACGAGCACGGACACGAAATAAATGGGTCAGCCCGGCACGAGCACGAATAATTTATGGGTCGTGTCGGGCATAAACTTCACGGGCACGAGCACGTGCACGGCACGGTATATAAGTGGGCCGTGTCGGACCTAATATTTTTGAGACTTTATTGAGTAAAAGAACAGACATGGTACCAAAATAATATTTATTTGATAGAAAATAAATGGCTAAATTACACATTTGGTCACTTGAATTACATAAACATTTCACGTTTGCCACCCAAATTAATTTTCTTTCAATGTAACCACTCACTTTACGAATCGTTTCACCGTTGGTCACCCTCCGTCAGTCTCCGTCAGACTCCGTTAACGCCGTCAGATTTTTGATGACGTGGCAAACGGAAGTGCTGACTGGGCTGACAGAGAGGCTAAAAAAGACGGCTTTGACTGCCTAGTCAGCCACATACCCGACCCAGCAATTTAATTGACCCGTTTTTTGTATTTCATTTTTCTTTTCTTTTATTTTTATTGAAAAAAGGTTTACTTTTAGTTGGAAAACTGAAAACGATCGGGCAGAAGGGGCTTTTCACTTCTCTTCTTCTCTTCTTCTCTTCTCTTCGTATTCTATTCGGGGTCAATCTTGCAAGGAGAACACCTTGTATAGAACAGAACAATACATAACATAAATGCAACCATAACCTGCTAGATCCGGACCACGTTGAACGAGAACGGCAGCCCAATCCCTCTAGCAAACCCTACCAGCCTCCGACCCGACCCGTGGATGAACCGCTCCTCCGTCGCGTCGTGCGCCAGAGTCGTAATCCGCAGCATCTCGATCGAATTGGGGGAACTCGACAGAGCCTGCATCAGCGCAATCATCATCACGCCTGAGCAGATCCGGAGCTCGACCACGTGGATCCGCTTCTCTCCGTCGAGATTCTCCATCAAGATCTGGACGGCGGCGAGCTGGGAGGCGCTGTAGAACGGCACGCTGTTCCGGTACTCCATCACGCTCTTGTCCGGGAGCGTCACCGCCGCGTCCGATACCAACGGCTTCCGATGATCGTCTACCGATTCGCCGCCGCGGCTGGTCTTTTGGGCTTCGATCCGCTGGCGGAGGGCGTTGCAGAAGTAGTACCCGACCCGCTGGACCGGACTGCCGGCCTGAGAAGCAAACCGGTCGCAGAGGTCGAGCACCTAGAGTGCGAGGCCGAATTTCCCCTTTCCGACGTTCTCCGCGCACTCGAGGAGGTACTCCATGAGCTCCACGTTATTGGATTCCTCCTGGGTGAGTCCCGTGAGGAGGTGGGGGACGTCGATTCCTTGCGCCGGCGACCTGGATTGTAAGATTCTGGCTCCGGCGAGCTTTATGTCCTGCAGAGAATAGAATACGAAGAGAAGAGAAGAAGAGAAGAAGAGAAGTGAAAAGCCCCTTCTGCCCGATCGTTTTCAGTTTTCCAACTAAAAGTAAACCTTTTTTCAATAAAAATAAAAGAAAAGAAAAATGAAATACAAAAAACGGGTCAATTAAATTGCTGGGTCGGGTATGTGGCTGACTAGGCAGTCAAAGCCGTCTTTTTTAGCCTCTCTGTCAGCCCAGTCAGCACTTCCGTTTGCCACGTCATCAAAAATCTGACGGCGTTAACGGAGTCTGACGGAGACTGACGGAGGGTGACCAACGGTGAAACGATTCGTAAAGTGAGTGGTTACATTGAAAGAAAATTAATTTGGGTGGCAAACGTGAAATGTTTATGTAATTCGAGTGACCAAATGTGTAATTTAGCCGAAAATAAATATTAAAAGAATTATAGGTTCAAATATTACAAAACACAAGTAGAAAAATAATTATTTGTTGTTGCTAGAAGTGTCATAAAGATATATACGTAATTACCAACATAAGTAAAAATGGACAAAGAATTAAACAAAACTAAATCACACTTGCTATACTTTCAATTTTCTTTTCCCGCTTATTTGTTACTTTTCTCAAACATTATCGGTTAATACTTTCTTCACCCGTCCAATTTTCACCTTCTTTTTCATTCTCTCTTTTGTTTTCGTCATTTTCATTAAACACGAATACGAGCATGGCACAAGCACGAATAGGCACGACACGATTCGAACCGTGCCTGGGCCCGGGCTGGGCCTAGCAAAACATGAAAACTGAGGGGCCGTGCTAAGCACGACATGAAATAAATGGGTCCGAAGCGTGCACGTGCAATGCCGGCCCACGCACGGCCCAGCGCCCATGTACAGTTGTGCTATTCAAAATGACAGCCATTTTTATCTATTTTTTTTAACCAAAAATATTGTGTCATTTTTTACCACTCTATTCCATATGGTATTGATTGGTATTAAATAAAAACATAACGTAAGGTATGAAAGCGTACCTTGATGGTATGAACATACCAAGACTAGGGCTGGCATTTCGGTTAGTTCGATTATAACCGATAACTGAAATGTCAGTTACCGGTTAACCGAAATAGGAGACATGACTACCGCCAACTGCCGGAAGAAAAGCTTCGGTTAGCCGGCAACCGACTGGTTGGTTACCGGTTAGTTGCTCGGTTAACCGAAGTAACCGCGGCATGCAACGAAAACTGGTCAATGGCGGGGTGCAGGCTGCGAGTAGAGGAGTGGCACGGCGCCGACGGAGCTCTCGACACCCGGGTCGCCCTCGCACAGGCCACATAGGAGGCAGGTTGGCTGGCGGCAAGCAAAGGAGTGGCGCGGCGCCGGCGGGTTGGATGGAGGTTGCTGGCTGCGACTGCGAGTTGGATGGCGGTTGCTGGCCGCGAGCAAAGGAGTGAAGCGGCGCCGGCGGAGCTCTCGACAGCAGAGGAGTGGCTGGCGACGACGTAGAGCGGCGTCGGCGTCGCCCATCAGGATCGGAGGGAGAAGGGAGCGGCGACGTCTCCGTCTTCTTTTCGTGATGCAAATTGGCAGAGAAGAGAGTGAGTCAAGGTCGATTGCAGAGGAGGCCCTTCGATTAGGGTTAGGAGAGTGAGGGCTGAGGGCGGCGTCGTTTTCAATTGCCGGTTAGCCGGTTAACCAGCGGTTATCACCGTCGGTTAGCCGGTTAACTGGCAGAGTCAGACCTGCTACCGCCAACCGCCCGACGCTCCATTTTTCGGTTAGCCAGTTAACCGGTAACCAGCGGTTATCGGTTTAACCGGTCGGTTAACCGGTAACCGCTAACCGAACGGCCAACCCTAACCAAGACTGTAGGATGGTTGAATACATGATCATAAGAGTATATTACTTCATTTACGACTTTAATCATTGTGTACCACAAGTTACCACTCCCATACCAAGGTGGTATAGTATGATATTATTTGGTTTTGTATTTTTTTCACCTAGAAATTTGTAGATCTAATAGATATAGATGGAATAATTTCTTCTGTGCAAATATTTTCAAAAACGACTTAAAAAATGAAGGAGATACCATATGATATGAAGTTGGTAACGAGAAAAAAATTTCTCAAAAAATTTGAAAATTGATATCATTTTGAAGATCACAACGAATCGTTTAATATGTGAAAAAAGAAAATTGTAATTCGAGTTAGAACAAAGAAAATAAGAGCCGATTAAGAAAAATAGAGAAATAAAATATCTTTAATTTACAGCCTTTAAATATGAAATTTCAGAGTTCACTTAATTCAAAGGTTCAAATTTAGTTACTAACCCTGTCCTAATCCGGAATCATGCAACGCACAAGCGCTCTATTTAAGTGCATTTGCATCATATCTTTTTTGTCTACAATTAGCACACATCAACTTTGACGCTTAGCCCCTTTTTTTTTTTTTTTGTCTCCAACGGTAACACCCGAACTTAGACATATATTTAGTTCCTAAAATACCCTTATAATTACTATAAATAACTACACCGGATGGGATCGGAATGGAGCATGGGTGCTCCCTGACCTCGTTATATCTACGGCCTGGTCCAACGACAACGAAGGGCTACTGGAGTAAGATATGATTGAGGTATTAATGATTTTGTTACTCGTGATATTGATATGTTAGAGCTATAGGGGAATTTGGTACCTGGGAAGGAGATGGAATGAGTTTTAGGAGTCCTGTTTGGAGGATATAATTGACGTATTGGGCGCTGAAGCTTGGTTAACATTAAGGCTCATAATCAGTCTTGCAAGAATGAGATTCTGTAAATCGATGCATGCATGGGTTGTGATTATAAATAAGGTGGGGTCTAGCTGGGAGAAGAGCTATTCGAAATGGTGGGATGTGTCAATGAATGGGTCCAGTGCTATGTAGTTGGTTATAGAGAATTGAAGGTTAAGTGAAGATCAAAAAGGCAGACCTACAGTATGTATATACAGAAGTAGGAGGTGTGGTACGCCAATATTGTAAGCATGCACGTATGAACTGAGGTGGGGGGTTATGGGTCTTAAGTGGAAATTAAATGAAGGTGGAAGCTAGCATTATAACCCTACGTTGTGAGTTTGTTGGTGAGGAATAACAGAATACCACCTTTGATAAGAACTTCATATATAAATGTTTGAAATCACCAGTAGACCGAGCTGTGGCGGCTTCATGGGATTCAACGGTGCTTGCGAGTTCCAAAACTTGGGAAGCGGGTTCGGTGGTTGCGATCGAGAAGTTTTGGCGACTATGCCTCTTTGGTTGATGGTAAGATCAAGTTTAAGGTGCGTGGTTAAAGGGGGTTAGAGTAGCTTTTGTTATCATGCATTTAATTTTATGTATGCATTTCAGTTTTACTTTATGTTCAGTTATTCGTTATACGATCCTTTGTTAAGTTAATTTATTTACGTTTAGTCTTTATGTTAAGTATGCATTGCATCATTAAGCATAAATAAACCACGATTTAAGGAGGGCAAATATCAGTTCAATTCTAAGCTATTCAAGTGCAAGTTAATAAGCTTATATCTTCCCATTGTTCGGGAGATCACCTAAGTAAGCTCGAACTTCTCAAGTCAAGTTAGCAAATATAAGATTAAGTATAACTCTCTATCGTGTGAGAGATTATTTCAAGCAAGCACATATAAGATATTATGTTAACAAGTAAGAATAAGAACCCTCCCTTAACTAGTCACACACGGTCACCTTACTACTTGTAGACGAGGGGTCATGATACATATGTTACGATCGGTGCTGAACGTGGTCACCAATACTCCCTGCAGATGGGGAGGTATGTTATGTTACTCCTTGCAGATGAGGACGTCATGTTCATGATACGTTGCTGTCGGGCGGTTATGCTAGTTAGGTCGAGGGCGAGATCCCATTTCAAGTTAAGTAAGAAGAAAATACTATTAGTAAGAATATATTGATAATGATATACTTCTAATAATGTACTCAATAACGTACCATTTCATGTGCACGTCCGTCTGTTGGTGTACGATAATGAAATTAGGTTTAGGACTGACCCCATCGCCCGCATTCAGGGATTGTAGAACCTCGAAAAGTACGCTAAGGAATTCAGCAGCTCGTGACAAGGATCAATGGCTTCAAAGGACTCCAGCAAGAAGACTTTAATTTTGGGTACTTTAGCAAGACGAGAGATTTGATGCAATTTTATGAAAGATATTTACTAAGACAAGTATTTCAAGATTGTTCTTGTATTGAGTGTGATTTAATATTTTACGTTTCCGCTTCTTTCAAAGTATTTAATACCAAGTATTTATTAAGAGCATTTTGGTAAAAGTAATACCCGACCGGGTTAGTGTGTTACACCAACCCTCTCAAAATGGAGAGCTACAAGTGGTTTCAATCCCGTTTTTCTATTAAAAAACAATTTCATTGAACTGTCAAATAGTTACAAAATTTTAGACAAAAGCACAAGGAATCCCAAGGAAAAGCTACCATACCATAAACTGGAGGAAGTAGGGATGACAATTTTGACCTGACTCGTTTTGGGGCTGGTCCGACCAGCCCTGTAGGCGGGGCGTGGCAGACATGGGTACCTCTCCCTGACCGGACCGGACCTGCCCTGACCCGCCCTATTCTCCACCTGTTCTTGTGTAAAATACTTGTAATCTTAATGAACTTACTTAGGATCTTCCTTTTATTACCTCATATTTTCCTTTTTTTTTTTTAGAAAATTACCTCATATTTTAGCTATAATAAACTGTGAAAACCTCAATTTCTCCAATAATTTAACTAAATTTTATCATATTATGGCTTGTTTCTTGTCTTTTACTGAAAATAACGAATATTTCTAATTTTTTTCATATAAATTACTTACCCATTGGGTCGACATGCCCCGACCAGCGCCACATGATAAATTATCCGACCTGTCACAGTACACGACTTATGTCATGTATAATTCTAATTACTTTTATGGAGTACTGGATTTTAAATAATAAATGTGAAATATAGAAAATTAATGTATTGGACTTTGATTATATGTCTAATACAATAAAAAATTAATCACAAATCTAAAAGAACGAATGGTCCATATTATAAGAAAACTTTGCTTTTTAATAGACTTTTTCCAAATTATATAAGAGAGTACATTTTATGTCCTGTGTTTTTCTAGAGAGAATAAAAGAGGTGAGATTGCCCATGCCTCTTATTATTAAGGTTAACTAGTAACTACATAAGGCACAAGCTAGAAACGATAAAGAAGTAAATCAATTATAAATAGTTCATAACAAATTTAACTTTAGACTAAACATTTATTACTGGTCTTAAATTTGGAGGCCTTAGGTTCGAATCTTTTATTTAGCACCTAATTAAAATTTATAGGAAAAGTTTGGGCCACATTTCATTTATAGAACCGGACCTCCATAATCTCAGGATCGGCCTGACTGTTGTCTCTCCTAGAATTAGAGTCTTTCGACTTTATTGGATGACTTCACTAGAATGTTGCTTCTAGGGGTTTGATTGGTAGTTTTGTTGGTATAAATCTTATTTTCTTTTGATATCATTCAGAAACAAATAAATAAATAGAAGTGGTTCCATGGTTAAGTTGACTTCCACATAAAACATGGAATAATACCCTCGTTTATAGTGTGTTGTGTTATAATAGATCCGAACCATCTTGCAAATCTTATTACTGATATCCCTCAAGATTTTTTTTTTTTGACAAAAGATAATCATATATTGATCCAACAAAAAGATAGTTACATTCTGGACAACAAGCAGGTACGAAAATCAAACCAACGATTCAAAGTCGGGTACAAAGCAAGGGCTTTTCTAGCCACCAAATGGGCTACCCTATTTCTACGCCGACCTATAAACCGAACACTGTAACCGGGGGTACTACCAACAGCGTGCACTACCTCTTCCAGAACTGCCCCCAGCTGGCTATCACGAGTATCCGCCTTATTGATTTTATCAATGATCATTTTAGCGTCCCCTTCAAACCGTACCTCCGTAAAACCATGATCCAAACACCACAGAACAGCCTCCCGAAGCACAAGCAGCTCCACCACAGCCGGATCATCCATCCCAGGGAACTGGACCCCACTAGCCAGGAGAACATTCCCCATCCCATCGTAGAGAACCCACCCTCCTGCCGAATGAGACCCCTTCCTAGTAGCCCCATCCCAGTGGCATACAATCCCATTATCAGGCTCCACCGATCCAGCGTGATTTCTTTCGGGAATAAGAATCAGGGGGGAGGAGGCCTCCAATGGCAACCCCACCCATTCCTCCACCTGCTGGGAAAACTGGCGCATCAAAGCCGGAAATCCATACTGCTTGCCTTCGAATACCACCCAATTCCGAGATCTCCAAATACGCCAAAGGATGGACACAACTCGCATGAGAAGATCGGCTTGAGGGATCAAGGCCATTAACCTCTTAAGGAACAGGGGGAAAGTATGCCGAGGCAAACCCTCTCCTAAATACTCCAAACCCGAATAGCCCCAAAGGGCACGAGCAACAGGGCAGTCGAGAAACAAATGCTCCAAGGTTTCTGGACCCCTCCAACAGACCGGACACCGAGGATGAACAGGGATTTTCCTCGCAATGAGAGCCTGCAATGAGAGCCTCCATCGTGGGAAGGATCCGGTTCAGGATCTGCCAAACAAAAACCTTCAGCTTAGGGGGGAGATTAGCATCCCATAAACGGATCCAGCTAGTCTTGTCCATCCAGCTCACCGTCACTTTCCTTCGACTTTTCCTCTGGTCGAGCAAAACAGCCAAATGATAGGCAAACTTAACCAAGAACACCCCATCCGGAGTATAATGCCAGATCAACCTATCCTCCAGGTTCTGGCGCGGCAAAGGAATAGACTTAATAAATCGACAAGTAGGGGGATCAAACCATTGACTGAGTTTAAGCTCACACCAGCGACCCTCCCCTTGGCAGATCACCTCTGCCACTGTAGGATCGCCCCCCTCAGGTAACACCATAGGGTTATATCGCGGAGGATCGAGCTGCATTTGGGGAATCCATGGGGATCGAAGCAGAGACGCCAATCGACCATTCCCAATTTGCCACCTGAGCCCCATCTCCAGCAAGTCTCGTCCGTGTAAGATGCTCTGCCACCCCCACGACGGGCGCGACCTAGCTTTCGCCGTGAGAAAATGCCCTGAAGGGAAATACTTACCCTTATAGACTTGGGCCAACAAGGAATTAGGTTCCATAATGATACGCCACCCAATCTTGGCCAGCAAAGCTTGATTGAAGTTCTCAAACCGACGAAATCCCATCCCTCCCTCATGCTTACTCTTACACAAATCCCTCCAGGCCATCCACCGAACCCGCGAATGACCCTCATTGTCACCCCACCAGAACCGAGCCACATGTTTGTCTAAAAGGCGACACAGCAAGAGAGGTAATTTGAAGCAAGACATCACATGCAGCGGTAATGCCAAAGCAATGGATTTAATAAGAGTCTCCTTAGCCGCCCAAGACAATGTCCGTTGCTTCCATCCCTGCAGCCTAGCAAGCAGCTTTTCCTCCAGATATCGAAAAGTCTCTACTTTAGACCGCGCAATCAGAGTAGGGAGCCCCAGACATTTATCGCAAACTCCTACCGCCCCTACCCCCAAGATCGCGGCTAGGAACTCTTGATCCGGCATAGCAATATTCTTGCTAAAGCAGACCGCCGATTTAGCCAGATTTACCCGCTGACCACTAAGTTCCTCGTATTCATTTAGTACCTCAATCAAGGTTTCACATTCCTGGAGAGTGCCCCGTAGGAATAGGTAAGAATCATCAGCAAAGAACAAATGCGAGATCCGGGCGGCACGCGGAGCAACTTTGATCCCAGCTAACCGATTATCGGCAATAGCCTTCTTCAATAGGGCCGCAAATCCCTCCGTTCATAGCACAAATAGGAGAGGAGATAGCGGATCACCTTGGCGTAACCCCCTAGTAGGAGTGAAGTAGCCAGCCGGAGTGCCATTCATCAGAACTGAGAATGAGGAAGATCGCAGGCATTCGTGAATCCAACCCCGCCATACTGAATTGAAACCCATCTTATCCAACAGCGCAAGAAGAAACGGCCATTCGACTCTATCATAGGCCTTTTCCATGTCAACCTTCAGAGCCATGTACCCTTTCTTCCCTTGCTTTTTGATTTTCAAGTAATGCATCAATTCATGGCCAAGGAGAATATTCTCTACGATTTGCCTATCTCGAATGAACGCATTTTGTCCCTCCGAAATAATTTGAGGCAAGAGACTTGCTAATCGTTCAGCCAAAATTTTCGTTATGACTTTATACACGAATTGGCATAAACTGATTGGGCGCAACTGCTTCATAGACTCCACATTATCTACTTTGGGAATTAACGTGAGCCAGGTATGATTGAAGCTACGGAGCATTTTACTGGTCGTAAAAAACGAGCAAACTGCATCAATCACCGAGTCTCCCACAATTCCCCAAAACGCCTTGAAGAATTTACCCGTGAAACCATCTGACCCCGGAGCTTGCTTAGAGCCCATTGCAAAGACCGTGCGACGAACCTCAGCGGGGAGGACAGCAGCTGTCAGGTTAGCATTCATTTCCGGGGTAACCCTGCGGGTAATAGGCAGAGTCTCCACCCGTTCCCTCGTATTCGGGACCTGATTCTCAGTCGTAAAAAGATGGCCATAGTAAGAAGTTGCTATATTCGCTTTCCCGTTTTCATCGGTCCATTCTCTTCTCTCAAACCCGCCACAAAGTTTTGTTTACGGCGTGTTCGAGTAACTGTATGGAAATACGACGTATTTTGATCACCTTTCTTAAGCCAATTAACTCTAGACTTCTGTTGCCAGTAAACTTCCTCCGCTTCCATTGTCTAGTCAACTCAATTTCAAGACGACGGATCTCATCCCAATCAATAGGATGGTTAAGTTTGATATGCTCAATTTCACTTTGAAGCGTTCTGATGTTACGAAGGGAGTTGGTAGTACGCGCTCTACTCCAGTCATATAAGAGATGACGTAGTTTCTTAAGGCGTTCCCAAAGTCGAAACATCGGCGTCCCTTGGATGTCCTCCTGCCAAACGTAAGAGACCATTGCCTGGACTTCAGGTTATCAGCCCAACGGGCATCAAACCGGAATAGGGGTCGAGTATGACGAACATATGGCTTATCAGAGAGGAGGATCGCCCGGTGATCCGAGCCCTGATCCGTAAAATGCTTAACCATAGTATCCGGGAAGCGATCAAGCTAGGCTTGGGACCACAGAGCCCTATCTAGTCTCTCCCGAATACAATCCGCCCCCATTCGCTTATTTTTCCAGGTAAAAAGATCTCCTTGGTAACCAGGGTCAATTAGCCCCAGGTTATTAACAAAATTCCGGAGCCCGAGAGCCTGCACAGAATTCCAGTGGTTACCACCATCTTTTTCTCCCTCAAAGAGAGTCTTATTAAAATCACCCAAAACCACATAGGGGAGCTGAATATAAGCACAAACATCCTGGAGCTGGTCAAGCTGGGTAGCACGGACGGCCACATTACAGCTAAAATAAACAAAGATCGCAACGTACGAGAAATCTATTTCATTAATTTGAACACAAACACAGAAGTGCGAATGGAAAAACACCGACGCCGAGACCTCAGGAGACCAGGCTACAACTAACCCTCCAGAAGTATCAATAGCATCAACAAAAAAAAAACAAGAAGATTCAAAACCTAGCCCGCGCAAACGACGAGACACAACTCTCCGTCTCGAACGCGTTTCTGAAAAAAACACCAGATCCGGCTTATTAGAACGAACAAGACCGACAGCAGTTTGGAATGTGAGGGATGGTCCAATTCCTCGCACATTCCAGGCCAGAAGTTTCATTTAAGCGATTGGGGCCAATCAAGGCTGGTTACCCCCACCTGTACAGAGTCTTCATCAATTTCCACAAATTGTTTCATCGGACTAGGGGCACCATTCATATCCCCTTCGACAAGTTCCAACGAACGCTTACGAGACTCAAAGGTCGGATGCGGCATGTTAGTGCCATATTCATTCAACCCCGACCCAGTAGCATCCACCTCCTCTACATGCCACACCACCGGTTCATCAACCATAGGCAAATTCTTAATAACATTGCTGCCCGTTCCATCCTCCTGAACCAAGGATTGGCCAGCTTCAAGGGCTGCAACAATCTTGCTTACATGGCTTGAGGGAATCCGGTTAGACAGTGTAACGGCCTTCTTAGGCTCCCGTTTCTTGATTTCAAAGCATGGCTCCTCTTCCTCTGAGTCCGAGTCTTCAAAAACTGGATATGCAATTGGGATGTCCCCATTACCCACTTTCTCGCCATCAGACAAGACAGGGGAGGAGCTGTCCTCCTGAGCACCCTTGCTGCCGACACCATGAGTCTTCATTTTGTAGGCTCGCGCACCCAGAGAAGGGCCTCCAAGGGAAAGCTTGCCCTTACGCCTAACAGAAGGCATCAGGGTAAGTTGGTGGTCGTGGCGCATCTGCCTTGGCCGGCTACTAGAAGCCCCTGCCGTCGCCTTCATTGGCGAATCAGCTTCTTCCCTCAAAATCGGATGTTTTCCATTTTCATTGCCCGACCTGCCGTCATGGACTTGGTGCATAGGGCTCTTCTCTTCTCTGCTCGACCCCGGGGATGCAGTAGGGAGCAGATTTATCGCATCATCCTCCGAGTCTTCTTCTAGGATCAGGCGGCGACGCCTCGTTTGTTCCAGCACTGTCTGCATTGCCAAGGGTTCGTCAGAGGCCGCCTGGACCGGGGGTTGGGTCAGTCCACCTTCCCGATGCTGGGCCGGATGGGCCTTCCTCGGCCTGGTCTTGCTCTTGGTTTTGAGTGGGCCAGCTTGCCCACCCGATGGGCTTCGCCTCTACACTTTACGAGATCCACCATTAATACGGGGGACAGGCGATTTACGGACTGGAAACCCCCTTGGGATAGGGAGGTTGTTTCTTGGCATTGATACAGGTTTAGGCGAAATGGGCTGAGGGCCATCCACCTCATGATTTGGGGCCTGTCCAGTCGCCCGAACTGGGCCATAGTTCTTTCTTTCAGCTTCCCCCATCTGGGTACCCGGCCCACGACCTTTACTTGCCTTACCCGCACCATCCACTTGTTGACGGACATGCCTATTAATTCAGACTGTCCCACGATTTCCTTTAAAGCTTGTAGGTCCCTCCAAGTCATCGTAGATTTTGCACCCAAGCTTCTTCGTAGACATGTGAGGACCGAATCTCTCCTTACCAATTGGAGGGTCAAAAGAACAGTCTCGACGTGAATGCCCCAAACGACCACAGTGGTAGCAAAAAGTGGGGAGAAATTCATAATTCAGGCGAACCCAGAAATCGTCCAGGTCTTTGCTAACTGCCATGAGTTGAGACCTCAAAGGTTTCGAGAAAT